GCTGTTAAATCCCCCCAGGGCTGGGGACTCGACCCCTTCCCTGGGCAGCCCCTTCCAGCCCCTGACAGCCCCAAGGGGAAGGAATTGTTCCCCATGGCCAACCTCACCCTGCCCTGGCACAACTTGAGGCCGCTGCCCCTCGTCCCAGCGCCCCTTCCCTGGGAGCAGAGCCCGACCCCCCCGGCTCCCCCCTCCTCTCAGGCACTTGTAGGCAGCGATGAGGGCTCCCCTCAGCCTCCTCTGCTCCAGGCTGAACCCCCCCAGCTCCCCCAGCCGCTCCCCAGCAGCCTGGGGCTCCAGACCCCTCCCCAGCTCCGTCGCTTTCCTCTGGACACACAAGAGGTGTGTGGAGATCCCAGGGTTTGGAGGTGGTGGGCGTGAGTGAAGAAGTGAGCAAAACCCAAGTGACTCCTCCCTGAGGCGTGCTTGCTGGGAAGGCAGTTGTCCCAGCATCTCTGCCCAAAATGATGGGGAGGTGCCGGTGCCGTTTTAGTGATGCAAGAGAGGCCTGGGTGTGGAAACAGCATCTCCGTAAACAACCAGTGGTTTCTTGATCTTCCTGCCCATCAAAACTGGGAAAGTTCAATCGAAATCATCAGCTGGTCTCCAAAATACGTACAATCCGTGAAGCTGCAACGTGGCGCAGCGTACTCCAATGGGCAATGCGTTGTGAACTGGGCTTTGCCTGAAGCAATAATGGGAAAAATGAGGGTGGTGAGACACTGGCAGAGGTTGCCCAGGGAGGTGGTGGAGGCCCCATCCCTGGAAATGTTCAAGGTCAGGTTGGATGGGGCTGGGAGCAACCTGGTCTGGTTGAAGATGTCCCTGCTTCTTGCAGGGGGGGTTGGACTGGGTGACCTTGACAGGTCCCTTCCAACCCAAAACATTCCGTGATTCTATGAAAAACCATCAGAGACACAGCTGAACGCGACAGCTTTATCGCTTGGTTGCTGTAAAGCACGAAGAACAGAAATCCTAATGACGCACGCTGACCTGACTCTTCAAAGCAGAAGTAGAAGTCTCTTATCTCACCCTTGCCGTGAGCCGCCCATTTTCTGTAGCTGTTCCACTTCATTTAAAACGAGTAATTTTCCTCAGCGGGGAAATTAATTGTTTTCTGCGCTGTTTGGGAGCGGTTTATGCACCCAAGGCCACGCCGTGGTGTTTAACAGCATCTGCTATTGCAAACCGGGGAAGGGCACCGACCTGACCGCTCAGCTTTGCAGTCGAGGGGATCACAGAATCCCAGAATCCCAGACCGGCTGGGGCTGGCAGGGCCCCCCAGAGCTCACCCAGTGCCACCCCCCTGCCCAAGCAGGCTCACCCAGAGCAGGGGGCACAGGACAGCGGCCAGGCGGGGGTTGAAGATCTCCAGAGAAGGAGACTCCACAGCCCCCCTGGGCAGCCTGGGCCAGGGCTCGGGCACCCTCACAGTCAACAAGTTCTTCCTCCCGTTCACCTGGAACCTCTTCTGCTTCAGGTTGTGCCCATGGCCCCTTGTCCTGGCGCTGGGCACCACTGGGAAGAGTCTGGCTGCGTCCTGGTGACCCCCACCCTTGAGATATTTGTAGGTGGTGATGAGATCCCCTCTCAGCCTTCTCTTCTCCAGGCTGAACAAGCCCAGCTCCCTCAGCCTTTCCTCCTAGGGGAGATGCTCCAGTCCCCCCATCATCCTTGTTGCCCTCCTCTGGACTCTCTCCAGGAGTTCCTCATCCCTCTTGAACTGGGGAGCCCAGAACTGGACCCAGTGCTCCAGGTGGGGTCTCCCCAGGGCAGAGCAGAGGGGGAGGAGAACCTCCCTGGCCCTGCTGGCCACGCTCCTCTTGATGCACCCCAGGATGCCCTTGGCCTTCTTGGCCACCAGGGCACCCTGCTGGCTCATGGCCACCTTGTTGTCCACCAGGACTCCCAGGATGTTTTGGCCTTGTGCTGGGCAAATCGCTTAAGTTTTGGTAACAGTTCTTTCCCTCTCTGCAAAGTGCAGGTAATTGTTACCTGCTTGAGCAAAGATTTTGGGGGGTCAGCTGGTTTCTATCAGCCCGGCACTTTGAATACTAAAGCGCTCAGGGTTGTGTATTACGCACCGCGTAGCCGTTACATGGGTGCTGAAATGAGATTAGAACAGTAATATCTTTAATTAAAGGCGCTTGACTTCATCCTCGTGCTGTTTCATAACTCTCAGAAGGTTGTGCAGGGAAGAAACAAGGTTTGTCTTCTTGGCTGGGCTCTAACCGGGGCCTTTTTTGCCCCTTTTTTGCCCGTACCGATGCTGGTACAGACATGAGTGGATCCTCACCTAAAATATTAGCGAAGCTAAACTCTGCTGAATTTAGGCACTGACACAGTCTTTGCTGGGTTGGGACGTGGGCTGCAGGTGTCTCCTTCCCCCCTTTTTTCCATTTTTCCCCACTTTTCCCTTCTCTTGGAAATAATACGGTGTATATTAAAATACTACGTGGGTCTACGGAATGCCCCCCCCGGTTATGAAGCTTTCCTTAACCAACTTTTTGGCGATTGGAGATGATGTTGAGGAGGCTGTCTACCCTAGCTGGGTATTTCTAGACTACAGGTGCTGGGAATCCTTTCCTTTGGGTGCTTGGTTCTCATTTTACAGGAAAGCAAGGGCAAAACTTACTATTATATACGAATATGCTGTTATACCACACCAACAATATTAGCTTAATTACCACGGTGCTATATGCACTGTTATATATTATACATGTGCTGCAGTAAAAACCTTCTGCATAGGAAAATCTGGCTGCCGTCGAGGCGGGTTTTTTTGTTTAAATAAAAATTTACTTTCAGCCTCCAGAACCAAGATCTATGGTTCTAAAGAAACCCTCTGCCCAGATTAGCTGTCTTCAAGGAAATAATCCTCCTTTAACTAATTAATCCTTCTGGAGTCCTTGCTATACAAGAGCTTGATATTATATAAGGTGTTCTTGTTATTAAGCCAGGCTCCCGGTCCTTCAGGAGCTGCTGTGGGAGTGCGCCCGTGAATTCAGAACTACGTAGCCGTCAGCGTGTTGCTTGCAGGGTCGGACTTGCCTTTTGCTCCCCGCCGAGGATGGAGCCTTTGCAGAGAAATTTCAGCAATGCATAATTCTCTTCCGTAAGCGGATTAAGACCTGAGCGGGTCTCGGGGAGCCTGGCACTCCGACAGTGCCGGCGCTAAGCTTTTTTTCCTTGGGATCATTCAGGCGCTTCACGCGAGCCAGAAGAGAAAGTAAGCAGCTTGCTGGGTGCTGCAGGGAAGACAACCCCATGGCCATGCCGGGGGGGAAGGGTTTAACTCTTGGTTTGGGTTTTCTGGCATGAAAACCGTAACAGAGCTGTTGAAATGCTGGGTAGAGGGGTGGTTTGCCTTTACTCCAAGATCTCTGAAGGGCCTCTCGCTATCAATGTTCATTTGAGGTCTGGATGCCTCTGGAAAGCTGCAGCTCTTTGGGAGCGCTGGTGGGTGGTGCTAGGACAATGGGTTCAGCCGTGCCATTCTTCCTATGACGCTGTGTAAGAAGCGCTGACCCTTGGTGCTACCAAATTCCTTTGGCACAGAATTGGGGTAGAAAGTTGGGAATCTGTACGTGTCTGTTGGTGTAGATCATTCCCTCTTGGAGACTGTGCCGGGGGGAGCAGCTAGCTCACGTGCGCAGCAGCACATCACCCAAAGCCAGTAGGTGCTGAGTTTGACTATGCAACGTTTCCTAGGTAAAGATTTAACCGACTCTTTTCTGGTGTCATGAAAGAGAGCTCATCGTCGTACGTGATGCCTTCACACATGCACATCATTTGCCTAATATTGGCCAGCTCCACTGAGGCTGCCATGGATAGTGCTGTTCTACAAAGGTGATCCTCTTCTGCTGGAACAAATAATTTCATAGAATCACAGAATGATTTGCTTGGAAAAGACCTTTAAGATCATCGCGTCCAACCGTACCTGTCCACTACTAAACCATGACCCTAAGCACCTTGTTCACCCGTCTTTTAAATACCCCCAGGGATGGGGACTCCACCATGTCCCCGGACAGCGCCTTCCAGCGCCTAATAACTCTTTCAGTGAAGAAATTTTTCCTAATGTCCAACCTAAACCTGCCCTGGCACAACTTGAGGCCATTTCCCCTCATCCCATCGCCCATTACCTGGGAGCAGAGACCAACGCCCACCTCGCTTACAACCTCCTGTCAGGCAGTTGGAGGGAGCAATAAGGTCTCCCCTCAGATAAAGTCTCCTCCCCAGTTTGATGCCACGTCTCACATTCATTTTAGAAGTACCACATGATCTGGAGAGTAAAGACGTGGAGTAAAACTTCAGGGCAATGTCATGAAGAATGGGGCATGACCATGTGGATGAGGCTCTTGAGTTGGGTCCCAAGGTGTGACTCCTGCCAGAGAGGAGGAGGAGGCGATGTGGCGATGGTGGTGGTGAGGAGCTCAGCTGGACGAAGAGCCCTGTGCTCCAGGTGCTTTGTCTCTGGAAAGGAAAGAGGAGCAATGCTTTCTAGTTCATCTCTAAAACTTACGTGTTGCTTTGCTGCTGATGCCAGTCCTAGAAGATGAAGGAGGTCTGGTCTCCCACATGAGGGCGTATTCCAGAGGAAAACATGGCACACACAGTCTCTTCAGCTGATCCTGATGACCTGGAAACAGAAGTGCTGGCTAATGCATCATGTCTCAAATCAAAAATGGACTCTACGTGTGATTTTAGTAATCAAAATAAATGGGAAGGGGGATTTCTAACTCCATGAAGGGCTCTTCAGCAAATTTCCACGTGTCTGCCATAGACCAGTTGCCTAACCAAAAGTTTGGAGGCCATTGATAGGAAAGGCAGGCAGGTATTGACAGCAGCTGTTGTTAATTCTGTGTTCACATCCACATCCGTGCCCTGCACCCCTGTATCGTCTTAAACAAGAAGCATAATCTGATTCTGGGAGACCATATCTTTGCTGTCCCCTGTAGGCTCCTTACTCTGGAGAGAAGAGGTACCATCTTTCTTCCTCTTATCAAAAGAGCAAGAGGGAGGAGGGGTTGAACAAGATCCAGAAAGGCAGAATATTAAATGCATCTCCAAGGGTTTGTTATTTATAATAAAAAAGAAGGGGAAAATCCAAGGGCTGGATTGAGCTGCCTGTAGAGGTACAGAGATGCTGGTTGGAAGGAACCGCCAAGGTCATCTCGCCCTCCTGCCCACTCAGAGCAGGACATCATTGCTAGCAGAGGATCAGGTGAGCCATGACTCTCTCTAACCAATTCCTGAAGTCCTCCAAGGATGGAGATCCACCACCTCTCCGGGCAACCTGTGCCAATGTCATGTTACCCTCCCGATGAAGAATTTTCTTCCTACCATCCCATATGAGCCTCCCACGGAGCAACCTGTGGCCATTGCCCTTACTGAGGAACAATTAAGGAAATCCAAGGGCTGGGAATGCCACCATAACTGAATAATAATTAACTAGCAGGCTCCACCATGCCATTGTTTAAAATAAACAGGGTCTCGTATCTACCCTGTATTAAATGACAACTCTTAATGCTCTGGAAGTACTGAAAACGTTAATAGGCGTTTTTGTTGGCTATTTTAGAGCTGTGAAGGCTTAACATCTGGGAAGAAAGATGGTAGAAGGCCACGGAGGAGCTGCAAAGCAGGAGGAGATGGGGGCCATGGGGGACACAGGCAGTGCTTGAGCTAGTTCCCTCTGGTGTGGTGTTGCAGCAGAGGTAGATGAGAGCGAGGAGGGCATTGCATTCCCCAATGACTGTGGGGAAATGGTCCTTGTAAGGAGCAGAGGAGATCCCAGCTGAGGATGGAGGTTGTTGGCATGTGCACATGGAGAAGCACATCTGTGGGCACGTTCAGCGGATCGTCCGCACCCTTCCACTGCAGGTGGTTTGGCTTTAGGGAATATTTTATTCTGTCTCTGACCTCCTTTTCTTCCTCCAGCTGCCTCCTACACAGACAGCTCTGATGATGAGACCTCCCCCCGCGACAAGCAGCAGAAGAACTCCAAAGGCAGCAGTGATTTCTGTGTGAAAAACATAAAGCAGGCAGAATTTGGGCGCCGAGAGATTGAAATTGCCGAACAAGGTAAATGGGGCGCGTTCCTCGAGCTCCACGTTGTCCTAGGGTTGTCTTGTGGGCTTCTTCCTCCCCCCCAAATCCTCTTCAGCATATCGGTGGTTCCTGTTAGAGATGGGAAAACTTTTATGGGGTTTTGTGGGACGGAAAGGAGTTGCAGGGTTTTGCCATGTAACTACAACCAACCAACACCTGAAGGACTACTCTATAGTCAAATGCATTTTGTTAAAATTAGGAGAAAAGATTAAATCCATCAAATAAATTAGACAACTTTGTTTTAGCATGATTGTCTCCAAAGATCTGTAGCGAAGGCGTTGCAGCGCTTGGGTAGTTGGAGGGATTGGGGAGAGGCTGATCGGAGCAGCGAGTCCCACGTCCTCCTCAGTCTGAAGCAGATCTTCCTCCCAGCCTCACTTGGGCCTTCGCAGATAGAAATTTAAAAATGTGATGATGCTGCGTCCTAAATGGTAGGAGAAGACCTCAGCGGGTTATTGGGTCCTTTGCAGCTGTGCCACGACTTATTTGATCCCTGGTCTCCAGGGTTTTGCTTTCTTTTGAAGCTGCCCCAGCTGTACAAATTCACAGGGGTCCCAGAGAGGAGGGCAAGAAGTGACGCTGGCGCTTTCTTCTGTGCTCATCCCTCGTTCCGTCGCATTGGTGGACTTCTTTTTTTTTCTTTTGCCTTTCAGAAATGCCTGCGCTGATGGCTTTGAGGAAGAGAGCTCAGGGAGAGAAGCCGCTGGCTGGGGCCAAGATCGTGGGCTGCACGCACATCACAGCGCAGACAGCTGTAAGACCCCGACAATAAATGCTAGACAGGGACTTTCACTGCTTAGCTTCTAAAATAGACCCCAAGCAGTTAATATAGAGAGAATCATAGAGTCATAGAGTCATAGAACCATAGAATCATAGAACTATAGACTCATTTAGGTTGGCAAAGCCCTTGAAGCTCCCCCAGCCCAATTGCTCCCCTACCCCTGCCATCCCACCCCCAAACCCTGGCCCTCAGCACCGCCTCTGCCCGGCTGTTAAATCCCCCCAGGGCTGGGGACTCGACCCCTTCCCTGGGCAGCCCCTTCCAGCCCCTGACAGCCCCAAGGGGAAGGAATTGTTCCCCATGCCCAACCTCACCCTGCCCTGGCACAACTTGAGGCCGGTGCCCCTCGTCCCATCGCCCCTTCCCTGGGAGCAGAGCCCGACCCCCCCGGCTCCCCCCTCCTCTCAGGCAGTTGTAGGCAGCGATGAGGGCTCCCCTCAGCCTCCTCTGCTCCAGGCTGAACCCCCCCAGCTCCCCCAGCCGCTCCCCAGCAGCCTGGGGCTCCAGACCCCTCCCCAGCTCCGCTGCCCTTCTCTGGACACGCTCCAGCCCCCCCAGGTCCTTCGGGGAGGGAGGGGCCCAACCCTGACCCCAGCATTTGAGGCAATATATTCAATATATACACACACACACACATATATATTCTGCATATATAATATACTTCAAAGTTCTTATTTACTTCATCCAGTCTAAATTGTAAAAAAAAGAAAAAGTAATTGCAAAATTGTTTTCTGTGCAACTCTCTAACGACCCTGATGCCACTGAGAACCAAGACCAGATATCCCCCCCCAAGCTTTCCCATAAGTAGCAAACAAAAATCCCAGTTGTATGTTGCTCTTTGCATTGCTCTTTCTTTCTCATATTTTTTTCGTTTAAATCCAGGTCCTAATGGAGACTCTTGGTGCACTGGGCGCGCAGTGCCGATGGGCTGCCTGCAACATCTACTCTACTCTTAACGAAGTGGCTGCTGCCCTTGCCGAGAGTGGTAGGAAACTTCACCCTCTTTGTTCTTCCCGGTTTTAAAAAGGTTTCTTCCTGTCCCGTCATATTTAGCTCCTTCACCATCTCTCAGGGTTTTCTCCTTCATTCTCTTCAATTCAGAGTAAACCTGTAGGAGTTAAACAGCACAAGATCAATCCCTTCCGTTGGTCTGAAACTCCTAGAGTGAGTTTTCTCTGGAGTACAAAAGCATGTAGCACAACCGGTGACGATGCACATAATTAGACATCAGGGCCATGTGCACCTGAAAGGTGTTTTGCTAAAAGAAACTAAGCTACATTTTATTTCGGGTCTCTAAATTTGAGGCCAAACTTTGCCGAAGAGGGCTGGAAGAGAGAATTTTTGGGGGACGTTGTTCACAAAAAGAGATGTTGTTCATGTTGCTGCTCACCTGGGAGGTGCCTTAATTCAAATCTTGTTTGACCTGGGGAAGGCCAGGGATTTTACCAGGAGAGCCAGGAGACCCAGAAGAAGCCAAGCCCACCAGCTTACCCATTACCTGGTCTTGCTCACTGAAGCTGAATAATAATCGCTCGTGAGCCAGAATACGTTCAAGTAAATTTGCGGCTAACGTGGCCAACAGGAAGGTAGGACACCTACCTCGCCGCAAAACCTCGATTTTGCCAGTAAATGTTATTGTTGAGGGCGTGTTGCCCTCTTGCTTGGTGGCTAGAGCTTTTTCTTGGGGGAGGGGAAGAAATTAGGAAGGCTGACGGTGACTCCTACCTGCTGCCTTCAGCGCGTGTCTTCAATGTGTATCTCTGAAGCTTCTCCTAGTAGGTAGATGTTGAAAAATCAGACTGCAAGCAAGACTGCAGTGGTGTCGGGAGCCTGGTTCGTCATGCGTGGACATAGGGAGAGCCGATCCCCAAGAGGTTTGCTAAGGCTGTGTTAGCACCCGTCTCCCTCTCTGTGCCAGGGTTCCCCGTCTTCGCCTGGAAGGGAGAATCCGAAGACGACTTCTGGTGGTGCATCGACCGCTGCGTCAACGTCGAAGGATGGCAGCCCAACATGGTGAGACGGGGCTGATCGCAAAATGCTCGGTGCAGCTTGAAGCACAGGTAGCTCTCGTCTGGAGAGAAGGGAGAGGGCGTAGCGCTGGTCTGTGCTTTCCTCCTGAATTTAGACCTAGCTTAAGGCTTGGTGCTAACACAGTGCTTACCTTCCAAGCGCTTTACAACTAACTACGCGATGCGGGAAGGCCTGCCGTCCCGCAGGTGTAAAGTCGGGGAGAAGGAGGGCTGTCTGGCCATCTGCAGAGGTAGGTCACGCTACCGAGCAAATTTTGTTGAACTGTTTTCTAAATAAGCACGGCTGCGTTAGCGCGACGTTGATAGGGTGCGTCGTTTGCTTCCAGAGTGGCTTGCTACAGCTTAAACCAGACTGATTTAATCTGGCCAGTAAGAAATGACTCAAAATCAGTGCGTTCTGAAAAGGGGTCACATTCATTTCACCGCGTTCGATTGAATTTGCAGCTTTGGTTGATGGGATTTTTCTTACCTAGGCAAGGCGTCTGTTTCGGAACAGAAATCAGATTTGAGGTGATGCCCTTACTCTACATGCACAAAACCTCCAGTAGCCCATCTCCATGCTTTGCTGGTTTATTCCGGCCTTGTTTCTAGGCAGAACAGACAACCCTGAACTGGGTGAGCAGAATAATTTCCAGCTGTCAGATTGCGGTTTTCATCACGCTTCCCGGCAGATTTCGAGCCCTGGAGCTTATGATCTAAATTAGACAAGAAGTAATCGAAGGTGGAAGGTAGGCGTGTAGCTGTGCTGTTTGTTTGCCAATACCAGCTTGTTTGAGGTGGGGTTTTTGTCCCTTCCAGTCTACACCTGCCAACTTCCTCACTGTCACCTTTAAAAAGAATTGAGATTGTCAAAAAATCCACCCCCGAGCTACAAGTCGGAGTCTAGACACGAGAGCAGCTGTTTTCTTCGTTTTGAGGAATAATTTCCCATTGAAAATGTCAGTAATTGCGGACGTCAACGTGCCAGAATATGCATGTCATGCTTTCCTAGGATCTCTTCAGATCTCACGGTTCCGTGACGTGTCTCTATCCATCAGTGTGTTTTCAGACCTGCTTCTGGAGCACAGAAATAATTGCTGGGGAGAACCAAAAGCCTCGGATCCAGCAGTTCCCAAAGATTTGCACGCTGGATTTTGGAGGTCCTCGTTTTCAGAGATAAGAAATAGGACCCTGGACACTGGGTGAAGAACGGGTGTGGAAAGTATCTTCTTCACATGATCATTTCAGAAGAAATGAGCTGGCAAAGTTGGCCAAAGAAGACAAAAGTAGCCTCTCCAGTCCTTCCAGTCCCAGGGCTGAAGCAAGATGGACCTACTCTGCTCCATGTCCTGATGGCAACTTTTCAGAGCATGCGTCATATTTTTTCTCTTCTGTTGAGACTGAGAATTTCCCCTGATATCCTGAATCAAAGACATTGTCACCAGGTTGTAGGATGGAGCCGGAGCTGCTGGTTTCTAATCTGCTGCTCCTGGCAGCCCAACACCTTTGTGTAAATTCACATCTAACCTCTTTTCATGGAACCCTAGACTGGTTTGGGTTGGAAGGGACCTTAAATGTCATCCAGTCCAACCCCCCTGCCATGGGCAGGGACATCTTCCACCAGATAAGGTTGCTCAGAGCCCCATCCAACCTGGCCTTGAACAATTCCAGTGATGGGGCATCCACAACTCCTCTGGACAACCTGCTACACTGTCTCCCCACTCTCACAGTAAAGAATTGTCTCTTGTCTCATCTTCTCATCAACAAAATGCCAACGATACCTCGCAGCGTCGCTGATGGTTATTAGTGGCCGTGCTGTACTTCGAAGATGTTCTGTGCAGCGCTACTGCCATGGTGGCATCAAATGGGAAATTCTCTCTCTCTGTGAATAGGGATTTAGTAACGTGCCTATCTCTGTCCAGCACCAAACGATCAATTTGGACTCTTATAAAGTGTGGAGTAATTCAGAGCATGAGTATCCGACTGGTACTTGTTGACCCATCCAACTTGTTGATCGAGATGAAAGTAGCGTGGAAATGCAGCTCCATTTCCAGGCTTCTGCATCTTTAAGCTTAATAAAGAGAAGTGGGATCTCTGTTGCTGCTTAAGAGAAAGCCAAATGGGTCCAAGCTGTTCAGCAGCTTTCCCCTAGGCACATTGACATAATATCAGGGCTCGCAATACACCCCGGGAGCCCTGGTTAGCGTTGCTTCGCTGGCCACCACCAGTCCCGCGTCCAGGTAGGCGCTGCAAGGCGTGATGGAGCTGCCGTTGTACGCCCCCTGCAAATAAACAGGGATGTCTTGCAGTCCAAAAATCTGAATGTTCAATGTTTGGGCTTTGGCGTGGTGCCAGTCCATGGGAACCGTTAGCCACCGATACCGAGAGCCTCCCAAAAACAGACACATTGGGTTTTCTGATGGGGATAGCAGAGCTTTAGAGGAGATCAGCTCTGTCTGGACAGGAACAACTCAGAGGGTTTTTTCTGAAAAATACTGAATCTGGAGGGCTGAGCATTTGGTTTCCTCTGCAGCATAAAGTGATCCAGGACCACGCTGCCGCCGGGGCATTTTGGTGCCACCTCCGACCATGCCTTCCTGCCACCTCCTCGCGTTTTCACCGGTCATTTTCATTAGTGCCTTATTTTCAATCACACTGTTGAGCTGATCCCAGCTAATTTTAATCAGCTTGTTCTTGGCAAGATCAGCCCCACAGGATCGGCTGTTGCCCCAACAGAGTTGGAAGGGGAACAGAGCGAGCGGAGAGTTCTTAGGTGGGTTCAGAGAGGTTGTAGAATGGCACCTTGAGACACCAGCTTCTGTCATGGAAGAGCCAGAGATTTACTGCTGGAAAAAACCATGAGGTGGGAGGACTGAGGGAGTGAGAAACCAGAGCTGTGCAGACAGCAGCGTGAAATTGGTTACTTGGGGAGAAAAGCACTGAGAAAGAAACATCTACCGAGGGGATACAGATGCACCAAGTCAGTCAAACCCTGTATAAATTCAGGGTGAGGACCGCTGTGGAGGAGCAGCAGATATCTCCCGGTGCTTGGGTCAGAGGACGGTCTCATCTCCAAAGAGAGGAATGTCCCTGCAGGCATAGGGTGGTAAGAAGATGTTTTTTAAAGTCGCGACCACTCCATCACACCCCATTCCAAGATGGAAGTGCCAAAATGAAGAGGGAGGTTGACGAACTGCAGCCGGGAGCGTTGGTTTGCAGATGGTGCCTCTCGGTGGGCGGCAGGCAGCAGCATGGAGAGGCCGAGCAAGGCTCACGTCTAGAACGGCCGATTTTCTGTATGAAAACTTCTTCGCATGTCAAATAAAGGCTTTTTTCCCAGAAAAAAAGAAAAAAAAAATTGCCTGGGAAGAATTCGAATGAAGGCAGATAGCTTGTGTAAAGCTGAGAAAACTGGAGGAATGTGGGGCGCGTACCATGGGCTTTGCCGCTGGCCATTCGGGGCTGCTACACGAAGGTGACCTTCCACCAAAATCTAGCTCCTCCATTGATTTGGTTTGGGGTTTTTTTTTTCCATCTCCTGCCCTCCTAGGAAAGAGGAAGCTGCCAACCCCCAGAATTCTCTCTTAGAAAGAGGATTATGTGCCCTATTAAATGGGGATTAATGAAATGAAGACGTCCTGGGAGCCAGGCTGCTGAATTCCCACCTTGGCGGGCCCAGGAGAGCTTCACAGCCCACTTAACCCTTACCTGCCTCTGCTCCCCAGCCTGTGAGCAGGAGGTGGATCTGGGGGTTCCCTGGAGCCTCAAGGGTGGGGTCTGCGTGCAAGACGCGTGCGCTGGGCTGACAGGACACCATGTGCTTTCCAGGCATTCGTGGAGGAGCAGCTGCAACCCACGGCATTCGTCTTCAGTGGAAAATCCTGCAGTTCAGAGAGAAAAAGATTTCATAGAATCATAGAATAGAATCATAGAATCATTTAGGTTGAAAAGCCCTTGAAGCTCCCCCAGCCCAACC